AAACTTTTTGTTTGTGTATTTTGATTAAATTCAAGATAAAATAAACACCTGAACAAGCATGTATAATAAAAAAGCTTATTTAAAAATTAGTGTTATTTGTGTATTGGTCGACTTCGTTCTCTAGTTCTCGTTTGTGTTTTTTTTTTTTGTACAGATAAATGAAGAATGAGTACAATATATCTGATTTTGTAACAAATACAGTTTGGTACGAAATAAAAGCTTAAAACCAATCAAACTATTCTAGTAATCTCTCCTTGCCGTATGAAATAAACCCTTGAGGAAAGCAGTTAAATATGGGGATAAGTATGACAAGTACGTGTATTCCCGACAAATAATGACAATTACCAAATTCGTTTATTACGTGAACATGAATGTATATTGTATAACCATTACATCTGTTTATAAATGTACAATTTCCTTTCGTATTTATTGACACGTGCATTGTGAAGTTAATTTAATTTGAATAATTAAATAAATAAAGTTTGACGAATACGAATACATACGAATACTTTATTTCTCATAAAACTACAATTACATAGTTATAGAGAACATACATAAATATAACTATAAGGTACAATTATTACATGCATGTGCGAACAATACAAATGAAATTAACTTGGAGGACTGACTTTCACATTTATAACTTTGATAAATTTACATAGTTTTTCTAATATCACAATATTTGATGAATTAAACAGTTGCTCAAAGGAGTAGGTCCAGTAAGACCCCTTTTTGGCCCCAAAATATAGCAGTTTTTCAAAATTGTTAAAATGTAAATTTTTAGCTATTTATTGGAAAGAAGAATACTTCTGCTACATAAATATGGGCAGTATTTGACAATACAATGCATATATATCGGGTATTAGCATCATTAAGTCATGCTAAATTACTGAAATCTTCACAATTTTAGTATTTGAGTTAAATTTTAGACGATTTCCGTCTTAAATGGAAGTGTGCCGCATTTGTGTTCATTCTTAATATTTAAATGCAAGTTGTATTTGATGATAATACATAACATATATAAAGGTTGAGAGTGAACACGGATGCGGCCACTTTCATTTTTGACAAAAACCATCTGAAAAGTGACATATTATGGCATACTTGATAGATTTTTCATATTTAAGCTTGAATCTGAGCTTCTGTAATGATAAAATCAGTTCAAATCTGTCACATAAACTAATTGAATCGACTGAAGTAGACACTTAAGTGTTTAAAAAGTGACCAAAATCTTTCATCAGATGAACTTGAAATTTGAGGCCAAAATCGACCCTTACCGGACCTACTGCTTTATAGGTATTAGGGTTTGACAAACAGTATTTGGGTAAAAATTTCTTTCTTTCCAACTTAAATGTTCCACAATTCATAATGTAATGGTACTCGTCACCAATGCCGTTTGAGTCACAGAGACGGCAGATTCTGTCTTCTCTCGGTAAACCCTGCCACCTTCCTGACTCAATCGGCAAGTGGTGACTTCCACATCTATATTTGCAAAATGTATGAATAAATTTGAAAGGCAAAGAAGAAAAATATTTTTCAATTACATGACAAATAATTGTACATAAAGTATTTTTTGGTAATATTAATATTTAGGCTCTTTCTGTCAGTAAACGAGTCCGGCTAAACAAAAGACAGATAATACAAAACTGCCTGTATGACATTATTAGTAATAACACGGGCTCCGCTTGTAAAAACCGTGTGATAGTGGTTTTAGTTCGTAACATAAGTCCACGTTGGTAGTCAGGGACTGTTTTACAACGGGAACGGTGAAATCGATGACATCCAAAACCTGTGATTTTAAAAACTTGGAACAAATATAGGAATCTAAGCCCTGCAATCAGCCAATTATTGTACAACTAAATAAAGTCTTTGACTTATTTTTACCTATAATAATGGTTTACTTTTACAAATTGTGACTTTGATGGAGAGTTGTCTCATAGGCACTCATACCACATCTTCTTATATCTAGCTATACTGTTACTTCGCTTCCATATTGAGCAAACGGCAGTGTGAATATTTTGTGTGTGTGTGACACATACTTATCAGCCTTTGGTAGTTGTTGGTGTAAATAATACAGGTTATAATCTTCCAAATTTCTTTCTTTATATTTTAAGCATCAAATAAAAAGTAGTACATGTTTGAAAATTTAGGTGATGAAATTTAAGGTAAAGTATTGATTTAGTCAAAATTAAAAGGATAAAACACTTGTATGATTGAAGCTTTCAAACTAAATTGTAGACCCCAACCTGCAACATAGAATGGTTCATATTTTGAGTTAGAGCTGTTAGACTGCTCTATAATTTCGGTACGTCAAAACACTGCTAAGGAGTCCTTAATGCACTATAAGGACGTATACTATGCCACTAAGGACTAGAAGGGGTGCTGTTACATGTATTATGTTTACATATTAAGTTAGAGATTGATATTTTGATATTTTGATATAATTTGTCTCAAAAGTAGTACACTGCACTGTGAGCATCTTTTTTGAGATAGAGCACGCGCGATTTTAGTATTTAAAAAAAGATGCTATACGAAATAACTAGGATCAGTTCATTTGTACTCGCTACACAAAAGGAGAAAAGATTGGTGCGCCTCTCTTTTTGTCCAGTTACCAAAGTTCGTAAAATAAAATTATATTTTCCGACAATGCACATATATATTGTATATGTTATTCCAACACTTACATTTTTCTTATTCTTTTAATTGTGTGGCTATTTAATGACCATTTTTATTTAAAGCCTGGATTTTCATCCTTCATTCTTAAGTACGTTTGAATTTCTACATATCTCTATCACACTTAATTAATAAAAGTTTTGTGTTAAACGTCAATGACAATGCAACCAATCCACACAAAAAATGACATCTAGAGGACACATAGAGATCTTTCGTCTGGCAGCACGTATAAACCACAGTTATCGTAAATTATATAAAAGTACAAAATCGAAATATAAAAAAAAAAAAACATTATTTTTTTTAAGACAAAACAGAGAAAAGAACTGATAGGAGCGGGTGATCCATGCGTCTATATATAGCTAGCTCCCGTTATGTTTCGATTTATTCAAAATTCATGTTAATTAAATATAAGTTACTTTTAAATATTATACCACATGAAACCTACACTGGTGGGTTCCATGTCATAAACCCACAGTTCGTCCTGAACATGCATGAAATATTTGCCACTGGACTTTAAGCAACCAACAATCAATCACAATTCACAACTTATAGTATATATAGTTGTGAAATACAAAATGTATGTATAGTGATACAATTTTGCCAAATAAATAGAATACAAATACACACCACTTTATATAACTGACACAAATTAAAGGAATACTCTCTAAACTATATAAGTAGAGAAGCGAAAAGTTTCTTTTGAATACTAAACAAACTTCCGAACTGTACATGTTTTTTTAATGGTTTGCCATGCAGCGCTCAAATATTTTGCATTATCTTTTGGTATAGTGTTTAGAAATATATAATATTGTAAGAACCTTAAACTACACATACTAAGCTATAATAGATTCAGATTCATTATTTTATTGAATATAAAACATAGCATATATTAAAACTGACGGTCAAACATCAACAGCTTAAATACTAATACGTATACATAAATTCATTAATTCTTTATTAACTTTTAGCCCTACGGCACCTTTTTATTAAGAATCATGAGTGTAATTGTAAAATAGTCATGTACTTTCTTACGTTATGGATCATTGATTTTGTTACCTGTTGACCCGGTTGATTACTAGCACGTGCCATTGAACTCAATCATTTGAACTAAAACGGAAAATTTTAAATTTACGCCATACACTAAGTACTATATATATATATATATATATTATATGGGTTAGAAAATAAATATAAGGATACATTGTTTGAATGAAAATCTTTATACGGTGGTACTTTATTTATAGTTTAGCACTGTCTCGACACAGACTGAATGCAGTATCATGATCAGCTTCATGTACTATGGCGACCTTGGTGGTGTTTAGACGCACCACTATGTAAAATAAATTATTGTTTAATAATATAAAATTATATTGTACAGTACAAAGCTATGGCAATAAAAGCTTTTCCAAGTTTAATAGAGTAACTCGCATGAAAATTAAAAAAAAAACAGCTCCAACGGTAATAGTAAACTAGGACATATCAACAGAAAACGAATTAAACCAACTGACATAAAACAAAAATACGCATGTGTTAATTTTCAAATACGAAAAACATTTTCACACAGGGTTCACAACATTTTTAGGTTAAATGTATGGCAATCGTTTTTGTAAGTATACAATTAACATCCGTCCTTGCATTTAATAAGTATATACATAAATAAACTAACATTTATTAAAAAAATAAGCAACATATATAGATGAATAATTTATTAGTTCCTCAACAAAACAACAACAGAAATAAAGAATCTACAGAGGATTTAATCTTTAATTACTTTTTATTTATTCGAGAGATATACTTTAAATTCTAATAAATATATATATATTAATCTAAAATGCATTATCAAGCAGAAGGGGCGTAACTCGTAGTATCATACCGGCATACTTAACGGATCTAAACATGGTCTGACAATTTTGAACTTTATTTTGAGATTTGGTCTGTTTTGGTCTGACACCGTCGTAACGGATCTTAACAGCTTGCTAGAAGATTCAGTCTTGTTTATCTTAACATGCCTTAACGGACTGATTTACCTAATGAGACTATCGATCGGAACGGCGTCTTAAAGTTCTTAAAAGTCTTGACGTTTTTCTCTAGCGGTAAATCCAGTCGATTAAGATATGATCAGACCAAAATTACCGTTTCAGACTGAAATCGTGCTACTAGTGATACGGACTTCTACACTAAGTATTTTTTTTTAACTTTTTAAACTGTGTATCGATATGAGTCAGGTCCTTTATAAAATATGTTTTTTAGGGGGACGGGGCTTTTATTATTTTATCGATAGTTGCTTTATTCATACCATTTACTTTTATTTCAGTTTATATACAACTAACCAGCCATCACGCTGAAACTTCTAAGTCGAATTTTGCTTCAAACTTTTCTTTATATAACCTATAAGATACCAATATAGGACAATTTCTAGTGAATAATCATAAATACATTCCAAAGCCAAATATGATATTCAAAGAGGTAGTAGAATGGCATAAACTATACCATTCAAATAAACAGACTTGCATAGGTTACATGTAGGACAAGTGTTGCGCGATCACGTTTAATGCCGCAATGTTTTGTGTGTTTGTGTGTGTGTCCCAAATCAGAAGTCTGTGATTCTGTATTTGCAGTTGGACGCGGTTATTCTATTTACTCTTTGTTTGTTGTTTTTAATTGTTTCACTTTGTCATGTCGAAGCCATTTAGAGCTTAATGTATTATATGTTTTGCGTGTTGTTGAATGCCGTACAGTGACCTATATCTTTTAACATTCTCGTCATTTTGTCTTGGTAAATAGTTGTCACATTTTTAATAATATCACGTATCCTTATTTTCATATAGAAAAAGTAGAATAACCTTGTTAACTCTGAAATTATATATTACATATTAACAAGCGTTCATACACAATAATATAATTTTACATTTCTTTGATATATCAATTTTTGAATAGATATACGTAATAAAAGCTCGACAAAGATACCCGGCGTATAATGTTGTACGCCAGATGCACGTTTCGTCTACAAAAGACTCATCAGTGACGCTTGAATTAAAATAAAGTTAAAAGACCGAATGAGTACAACTAATCTCGTGTTACTTTTGTAACAAATCGTTTACGAAGGTTTTAAAATGTGTGTTTGTTTGTAAAGCTGAGCCTTATTAGATGCTTTTAGTTTTACCTTAATACATTAATAAGTTTAGAAACCACTCGGAAATTTGATTTGTCTCATCCTTTTAAATGACCAAATATGAAAGCACAAGTTTTTTTAACAAAGGAATATGACTTTTTTTTTCCCTCGGTCCGTTTGTTGATAACGTTTACATATGTCTATTTTATGAACTTCCCTTTGTGAATTAACCTTGGAGATTGGTATTTTTTCATAGTTGTATACAAGATTGTATCTAAAGACAAAACACATACATAAATATGACACCACAAATAGAACACAACTACTGAAGGATGAGCAACACAACCCCTTCGAAAACACTACCAGAGACCAAAATGACGTAACTAATGAAAACAAAAATTCAACTGAAAAACAAAATATAGATATAAACGAAAATTATTTAATTACAGGCTTGTGACTTGGGAAATGTACATACAGACTTTGATTGGGTACAAACGTGTTTGAAGGCGGCCTGTAAATTCCAACTGAAAAAACCAGCTCTGTGTATTCCCAACCCTCCCCATAAAATCAGACAGTAGTGTAACAGTTCAACATAATAACTTACTAACTATAAAATTAGTTAAAAAGGTTTCAAAATATCAATACAAATATCAAAAATAAATACAAATGTAACAAAGTACCGATCTGCGAGAAGGAGATACAACGGGACTACCAAAGCTCTTAAGTCAAAGACAAACTGACAAAGCCAATGCAAATAAACGAAAAACGACAAAAAGACGAACTAGTCCACAAAATACAATATAGAAAACTACAATTTAAAGAACACGAAACGGAATGCCACCAAATTGCTAGAAGGTTGCTTTATAGAAACGAAAAATCTCAACTTGAGAGCTTGAATTATTTTTTTGTTGTTAAGTTTTGATCTTTTCCGACCCTCAGGGCAATTTATTGATGTAAGTCAAACTATTAAGCAGACTTGAGTGTATCTGTGGTATCCTTTATTTCAAGTTCTATAATATGTGTCATCAAGTGCAGATACTATAATGGAGGACTAATAGCTATTGATGATAAAGAATTGCGTGTCATCAAACTTCTGAATATTCGAAAAAGTGGCTGAATCATGAAACATTTCCTACATTTTACTAACAATTATCACCATGATATAAAACACTTCCATGAACGACTTACAATTTAAACACAAAATATGTTATTATCCTATAAAGTATTATGTTCCATTGAAGGAAAATAACAACTTACACAAGTTATGATGATGCAGACCACAAATGTGATAGTTATTATTTAAATCTCATATGAAAAGATAGATGTATAAAATTAAGAATGCATGACAATTAAAACTACCAATTGTGAATCTTAATATGCAATACTTTAAGTACAATATCAACCAATTCAAGCATATTTCGTAATAAGTTAAAAAAAAAAAGCATGCTATACACATTTGATCATGCGTCCGTATATTTAAACATACATTGGGAGTGTAAACAGGATATGCGAAAAAGGTAAAATAACAAAAATTCCGAACTCCAAGGAAAAGTTCAAACGGAAATGACAAAATTAAAAGCTCAAACACATCAAACGAATGTAAAACAATAGGTATATTCCTGACTTGGTACTACCATTTCCTTGTGTAGAAAATTTTGGATTTAACCTGGTTTTATAGGTAGCTTAGATCTCACTTTCATGCAGGTCGCATAGAATTCCACTTTCTTGACAATAATGTGTATCACTATAAGAACAAATAACTAGTTCCAAAAAGAAAACAAAATGGCATATGAACACTCTACAGACAAAGTTAATAAGCAAAAATGAAAGACTAGAATACAAACCAAAGCACAATCACACAATGGCGGGATGTATAAATACCGAGCCATATCAAAAGTATATAACCAAACCTGAACTAAACAGTAAAGTTTAATAATATACAATGACAAATAAAAAGAACACTATAACACGTAATGAAGATGATAGTACCGAGAATCTATACGTAAACCATCATGTATTATTTGTGAAGTTAATGTATATTTATCAACAAGGTCTTGGTATCTTTCAATGAACTGTTTCAGAAAAAAGACGAGACATTCTTGGACATAACCCTGGTTCATCAACTTTCTGCGCAGACACTGATGGCGTTTTATTTAGTCTGAGTAGCAGCTGAAAGCCCCTGAATACCAAATGAGTTGGGAAATATATATATCCCATATGCAGGTGAAGTCCGATAGACTTGCACTAAAGCAAAAGAAAAAAAAGATTTTGTAGAATTATAGTCTCCACATAAAATGTGTGGTCATTAATTTGAGCTGGAGAGTAACTCAACAAGAAATAGATAATATGTACTCGACAAGTATTGTTAGCAGACTGTGTTTAAACACGCAATCTTTATTGTCGCGAACATTATTTTTAGGGGCAACAGTAGTTTAACGATGTTCATATCTCATGCTTTCCGACAAGATACCCAACCAGGATAAAAAAAATGAGGAGCGAGACCGGATGTAACGTCAGTGTGAGCGTCTCTTTCTATACATGCATCGCCCGTCATGCAAATCCACACCCAGGAAACATGTCCAAATTTGGATTGATTGATTGTTGGTTGCTCAATGTCCAGTGGCAAAATTTGTTCACGAAATCTTTAAAATCCATGTTTCGAACAAAAATTTGGCCTGTACTTTTTATGCCGTTGCTGTGTGTAACATACTCTGAAATACAGCTACTTATATTACAGTTAATGACGATTGATTTCATTTTAGCAATGTATTTGAGCATCTGTTGGGACGAAAGTAGCTGTTATAAAATTGAGAATGAAAATGGGGAATATGTCAAAGAGACAACAACCCGACAAAAGGGCAGACAACAGCCGAAGGCCACCAGTTGGTCTTCAACGCATCGAGAAATCCCACACCCGGAGGTGGTCCTCAGCTGGCCCCTAAATAAAATTATAAAATTGTATATTAGTTCAGTGAAAATGGACGTCACACTTAACTCCAAAACATATAAATGAACTAAAATTAAAAAACATACAAGATTAACAAAGGCCAGAGGCTCCTGACTTGGGACAGGCGCAAAAATGCAGCGGGGTTAAACATGTTTTGTGAGATCTCAACCCTCCCCCTATACCTCTAGCCAATGTAGAATAAAGAAACACATAGCAATACCCACAGTAAAACTCAGTTTAAAAGAAGTCTGAGTCCGATGTCAGAATAGGTAACAAGAGAAACTAAGCAAAATGACAATGATACATAAATGAACAAAGGACTACTAGCAGTTACTGACATGCCAGCTCCAGACCTCAATTAAACTGATTGAAACATTATGTCTTCATTATATGAAAATCAAGTACAATCCCTCCCGTTAGGGGTTTAGTATCATACCATCATAAAATATATGAGAAGAACATAACCCGCATCATGCCAACAACTGGTTTTAGAATAAATGTGTTTATTTCCGATGCAAAGACCCTAACACAATATCACACACCTATACCCCCCCCTCCAAAAAAAAAAAAATTTGACCCCCAAAAAATTACCCTCATTTCAAGTAAAAGAGCCCTAAATTTTCACAAAAAAAAAAGCAAAAAAAAACGCAAAAACACCAAAATTTTCTTACTCCCAAAAAAATTTTTTTTTTACTTTGGAAAAAAACGTTATTAAAAACACCCAAAAAACAACAAAAAAATTCCAAAAAAAAAAATAAATAAAAAAACCGGGAGAACAGGCGAAGAAAGAATTCTGTGGGATTTAAGAGAAAAAAAAAATTAAGTGTTTTTCCTTAAAAAATGGAAACAAACGAGCGGAGCGAGATACACTCCGAATTACCAAAATATCCACATTGTGTTATTATATGTGGACAAACAGGATGTGGAAAAACAGAGTTTGTTCTTGATTTATTAGAAGGAGAATATAGTGGAGTTTTCAAATATATAGTCATACTTTGTCCAACAATTCAATGGAACAAAGCATACAAAAATCGTGAATGGATTGGTGATGTTAGAAAACCAAAAACAAAAAATCTAATAATTGTTAATCCTATTGTCAAAGAAGAAGAGAAGCTACAAGAACTACTAAGAATGTTCTTTAAAAAATATGCTGGTCATCCAACATTATATATCATTGATGACTGCAGTGCAACAAAAGAACTAACAAAGAAAAAAGATATGCTGTCCGAGCTTGCATTTTCAGGAAGACATGCGGAACAATCAGTGTGGGTCATTTCACAGAGATACAACTCTGTTTTAAAAGATTT